TGTGTGTGTGTGTGTGTGTGTGTGTGTGTGTTAGGCTAGTTTGTGCAACTGATTCTGCTGAAATGTTACTTTAAACGTTCCAGCATGTGACAGTTGCAACTCATTTATAAAGAATAGTGATTTTTTGCAAACATTAAATTACTCAGTTTTAGACAAAAAAAAATGCAGCAAGCAATTGAAAACTGTGTGTCAACCTGATCATTATTCTGCTGATCACACTTTTACAATTCTAAAAGATTTTTGATTTACAATTACGACTAATAATACTGTTATTCTGTGTTATGAGTCACACATTACATTTTGTTGTTTTGAAAGACACGGGATTCTGTGACAGTGACACTACTACTATTTAGTTCAGTAATCTTTAACTCTTCTTCTTTTCTTGTTTTTTTTTCTTCTTTTCTTCTTCTTTTTTTTAGAAAATTAATGTATATCAAATGACTGTTTGAAATGTTTTTTCCCTACTGAAATGAACTGTTGAAGCAAATTACGAAAAGGTTTTTTGCAGTTGAAAGATTCTGCATAATCAGAAATGCATAACAGATATGTATCTGCACAAAAATTAAAAAAAAAAGCGAAGTTTTGTTTTCGAGGTTAAATGACTCAAAAAAGTTTCAAAAAAATTGGTTACAAAAATTGAGACAGGCAAAGCGGTTTAACGAATAAAATCGTTTTGTAGAGTTCATTTGTGTGTGTAAAACTTATAGAAATTAAGTCACTAAACTGATAGTAAACATCGATTCTGATAAACCGTTGCAAGCAGATAACCTGTGGAAAGAAACTTCTCAAATCGTTTGCCGTCTTTATTATTACAGCTGTAGTTTTATCGGTAATTGGTTTTTTTTTCCTAATCAACAACTACTAATTTCCAAAACAGTAACTCTGTCGCAAACTTCCAAAAACAGCGACAAGAATCTTACAAACCTTAAAAGTAAGAAGGAATTGAAAATGTGATTTCAATTAATCTTCTTCTTCATTTTTAGCTACATTTTTTGATGTTTTTTTTTCAAAGTTCTTTGCGTTATGTGAAAGCTAAAATAAGCAGATCAGTGATATTCAATCACATTTCGCCAAGTCGTTCACTGAGTGTTACTTGATAATCGTTTGTTCTCCAATCATATATTCTACTTAATAGCTCTGAGCTCTGTTCAGAAAGTCTCATAGTTTAGATAAATCTTAAACACACATATCTTATAGATTTATTTGATTTTTAGTTAACTAAACTAATAGTGTGTGATATATGTTGATTATTTTGTATTCACAGATCAATAGATATCTCTGCTGTTTACAAATGGCACGATACGCTTCGGTTATTTAATCGTCAGTTAAAAGATGCTGTTTAAGAACCAAAAATACTATTTTTGCTCAGTAGCATTAATTTCTTTTCCTATTTCTG